TCCCCTGCAGAGGGGGGTTCACACAGGGAGGAAGAGCCCCCAGTCAGGAGCTCTACTGAAAAACCCACTCAGGAAACCCAAAATCCTGACGGAGCCCACGGTGACTCCACGCCGGAGGATGCTCCACCCTTCCCAGGGCTGGTTTCTCCCCAGTTCCCATGCTGTGGTGCCCACAGGCCCCTCACCAGCGTTGGAACTGGCCGTGTTTCAGGCTGGCTCTTGTCTCCTGGGCTGTGTTTGCTCCCCAGGGCAGGGCCAGGGGTCTGTGGGCGCTCCTGCTATGCCGCAACTGAGACTTCCCTGGGTTGGTGCTCTTATCGGTGCCAGTGGCCTCTGCTCGGGCTGGGGTGTGCCAGTCTTGCTCATCCTGCTTGGCAAAAGGTCTCGAGACCTGCCCCAGTGTCTGCAAGCTCTTGCATCAAGTTGGTCCAGGGAGGATGTGTGTGCACGGATGAGGCTCGCGGGGCGGAATGAGGGCAGAGCCCGAGCCGGGCTGGGGCTGAATTTCCCCTTTCCCTCTTCCCATGGCCAGCCAAAACCAGCCCCAACACAGCGAAGATGCGCCAAGGGAAGCTCTGCCAGCCCCCTGTCAGCGTTGCTGCCGCGTGAAAAGTTGCTTTCATTTATTTGTTGAAGGGCAGTTTGACAAAGGACGCGTCGCTCCGGTAAAAAATCCCCTGTCACAGCAATCCAGCCAGGGTGCCAGTGGGGCCTCCCGTGGCTCACAGGTCCGGGGGGCTCGAGGAGCGAGGGCTCTGTCTGATTTCTGTGGTTGGAGTGACAAATGTGGTGCCAGCGAGGAGTCAGGTTGGAGGCAGTTTTGAAGCGGTGCCCGAGCCGTAATCTGGAAATCTGTTTACTTCATTCCTTCCAGTCGGGGCAACAGCACTTGCAAATATTTTCTGCTTTTTACCTGCACACGTAAGGGGTTTGTTGCCTAATTGGGACGTGAGATCTTACAGAGATCTTTCGCCAGTGTGGCAGAGAAGGGCTTGTAAAGGGTTTGTAAAGGGTTTGTAAAGGGCTTGTAAAGGGCCGGGTGGTTTTTCCGCCCGGCAAAGGCGCCGAGGGTTTGCCCCGTGACGCTCGTCCCACCCAGCCCTCGTGTCCCTGCCATGCCCCAGCTCCCTTGGCCCCTCTCCCAGGTCGTTGAACAGGCTTTTCCCATCCAGGTTGGATGGAATTTGTGCCTGGACTCCAGCCCTCAGCTCCTGTCTTGGAGGGGGAGCAGCACATCCACCTGCCCCGCGTGTGTTTGCTGGGGGACGAGTCCCTGCGCCTTTGGATGGGGGAGGCTGGGTGTGTTTGCAGGGTCTGCAGCCCCTGCAAGGTCTCCTGGTGGCTCTGACACCTCTTGGAGAGTAGTTTGGGTAGGGAGGGACCTTAAAGACCACCCAGTCCCACCCCCCTGCCATGGGCAGGGGGCAACTTCCACTAGACCAGGTTGCTTCAACCTGGCCTTGAACGCTCCCAGGGATGGGGCTTCCTCTGAGAAATCCATCCCATCCCCTCACCATCCTCACAGGGAGGATTTTCTTCCTAATATCTCATCTAAACCAGCTCGTGGAATCACGGAGTGGGTTGGGTTGGGAGGGACCTTAAAGATCATCCTGTTCCAAACCCTTCCACTATCCCAGGGGGCTCCAGTCTGTCCTTGGACTCTTCCAGGGATTGGGCAGCCACAGCTTCTCTGGGCAACCTGTGCCAGGGCCTCCCCACCCTCCCAGGGAGGAATTTCTTCCCAATATCTAATCATCTGTGCAGAAATATCTAATCATCTGTACAGAAATATCCAATCACCCTTTACAAAGGAGTCAGGAAGGGTGGCATCGCTGCGTCGATGATCCTGGAAACCCAAACCTGGCTATTTGGGGACTGTCCCTCTCTTCCCTTCTGGTTTCCCAGACTCTGGAGGTGGCAGTGAGGGGGCCCTGTGCTGCTGGGGGGTCTCAGAGGGCTCAGAGCACACCTTGCTCTGTCTGCTCTGCTGTTTGATCTTCGCTGCCGGGGGCTGTGGCTGCTCCAGCGGCTGCTCCTTTCTAACCACATTACTGGGAGCACTGGTGGCTGTAATCAGGTTCAGTGTGTCCCCAGGCTCACTCATTCCCACCCCACAGAACATTTAGGGAGCCCCCAAGTGCTTGATTCCTCCCAGGGAATGAGATTAGCTCCCGTTCCTCCGAGAGGGATTTTTTTTTTTTCTCTTTAAGTCTTTCCGACCTTCCTGAAAGTGATGTTTGTGGCTCCTTTGGTCCTCACACTGGGGCAGGCTGGCAGTGTCTGGGCTCCCTGGGGGTGGGAATTGTCACCTTTCCATGCCTGTGTGGATGTGCCTGGCACGGAGCAGCCTCTGCCCGTGGTCTGGGGGCGTGAGGGGAGGGTTTCACCCCTAATCAAATCCACGGGGGAAGGGGTGGCATGAGCTGACTTGCGTCAGGGAACGAAAACCTGCCGGTCCCGTGGCACCACCAGCCCTTGCCAGGTCTTGCCCGGCTCCCGGGAAGCTGCAGCCACTCCAGGTCTTGCAGGGGAAAAAAAAAAGTGTTTCTTCCAGCCTAGGAGCGGAGGTGAGGGGTGACACGAGGGATGTGGCAACCCGGGGAGCTTCCCCTGCACAGGCTGGTGCTGAGCTGCTCTGGGAGCTCCCACTTCCCAGAAAGCTGTCAGTCCGCTGCCCAATAAATCTCACGGAAAGCAGCTCAATAACAGGGCTCTGGGGAGCTCCAGAAGGAAATGGTTTAATTGTCTTTTTTAAGGGGGAAAAGGCTTCCTCGAGTGCCGCAGCTGCGTCTTATGAATGGGTCCATTTGGACTCCGAAAAAAGCTTTTTCTTTTTGTTTGTTTGGCTTTTTTTTTTTTGCTTAAATTCGTTGCCAGAGGCGCTGAGAGGCTGAGGAGCATCGTGTTGTTTTGGCTGCGTGGTGTTAATTGAGTGTGAGCCGGGGGAGCACAAAACCCTCCCTGGGAGCGAGCGGCCTCTCCCGCAGAGCCCGCGGCAGCACATGGGGAGGCTTTCCTGGAATTTCACAGCGTTTACTGGGATTTCACGGGCTTCACTGGGATTTCACGGGCTTTACTGGGATTTCACGGGCTTTACTGGGATTTCAGCCCCCAGCCTGGTCCTTCCAGCCCCGTGTGGGGCTTCGCTGGGGCGACAACGGGGCGGCTGCGACTTCGCTCGCAGCAGCCCCGAAACTGGTTTGGCCTCTCTGGTGCTGCTGGGAAGAGCTGAGCCCTTCGAACACTTAATTATTCTGCTTCAATTCCAAGAAGTGAAGGCTTAAATGTCAGGTTTAATGACTGAGCAACCTTTCCTGGGGGTGGAGGGAAACTCCCCTGTCTCTCCTCCCGCGCTCTGACGTCACTTCCATCCCGGGGCTGAGCAACATTTCCCAAGAAGCTGGAGATGGTCGAAGCAGCCCCATCATCCATGTGGGAATTGCATTTGGCACAGAGCTGGGACTCTCCAGCGAGCATCACCACCAAACCACCTGCTGCTTTTTCACCCCAGAGCTGGAGGAAGCAAGAGGTGTGACGAGGCAGGGGGACACCTGAGAGGGGGTCTGTCTTTTCCTGGGAGCTTTCTTCAGGCAGCACCAACCACCAGGACCCCTCTCTGAAGGTGCCAGCACCACTGGCCGTGCCAGTCTTCAGGAGAGGAAACTCCAACCTCCTGGAGCAGCTCTGGGAGCATCTCCAGGTGCTGCAGGGCTGTGGAGCCTTTGGGCTCTGTGTGGCAGCTCTGCTCTCCCCTGGCAAGGCCCAAGAGGACTCCAGGCTTCCCTGGGTTGAGCAAGAGCTTTGCAGTGAGATTTTAGTTGTAGGATCGTCCTCTTTTTTCCCCCTCAACTCATTTTTGCTCCAGACTCACTATCTGGAGTTGCTGAGTGACTGATAAAGGGTGTTTAACATAGGGCAAGTCCAGCACCAGCCAAAGCCTTTTGAAAGCAGCTGAGATGGAGCGAGGCAGCAGCTGCCTCAGCCCCTGTGGAGACAACATTCAGCCAGGCTTTAAACCAGAAAAAAAAGAGGTTTTCTGGGTGCTATCAGCGTGGAGAGATGCTCTGCATGGCCAAGGGAGCAGGTTCCCATCCAGGTGCTCAGCAGGTGTTTTCCCAAGGTGTCTCTTGGCCCTGTCCTCCAGCACAGCACTCGGGGGACACACAAAACCCCTCAGCTGAGGCTGGTGTGATGAGCTGCCTGCCCACTGGATGTGGGTTTCTCCCCTTGCCTTGGCCCTGCGTTGTGGCACCATCATCCTTTGGGTCTCTGAGCTCGTGCTGGACATGGGGGTGACCCGAGGGAACGAACCAACCCATTGCCTGGTGTGAGAACAGGTCACCCCCAGCTCGAGGGGGAGCTCAGGGAAGGTAAAGCACCTTGAGAAAAGCTTTTTCCTGCCTCTGTCCCAGCCTTCTTGGCACCCTGGGAAAAATGGGTTGTTTCAGCGTGGTGATTCCCAGAGCTGCTGAAAGAACAAAATTATGTGGAAAGGGAGGCAAAACCTTCCCCTTGGGGTGCCCAGGTGATTCCACAGGCTTTGAGTGGGCATGGAATAAGGACCTGTGTTTGCAGCAGCCACCCAGCTCTGCCTCCCCTCGAGCCCCCCGCGCTCAGCAAGCTGGATTGTGAGATTTAAATCGATAGGAAATTATTACTGAAGGTAAAGGAACACCTCTGGAGCACCTCTCGCTCTCCTCTCCCCTTCCTGTGCCCCTTTGTTCTCCGCCGTGTTCCTCGGGCTCCCGTGGCAACCCCAGCACGCAGAGAGGGTGGCCTGGAGCTGGGATATCTCCTCCCGGATCTGGGCTGAGGAGGTGGTGTGGGAACCAGACAAGTGGTACCTGAGCTGGCAGGATTATCTGGGAGATCACCCCACCCCGGGCACGGTGCTCCGAGGGGCCGGAGCGGGACCGGGGCACACTCAGACACTCCTTGAGTCACCGACCTCGGGAAGGTCTGGGGCTGGCTCAGCTCGTGTCCTGTCTGCCTTTTTTTAGGTGTGGGTGGCTCCATGTCCCAGCTCCAGAGCTCCTGGGACGTGCAGCAGCGGAGCATGGCGTATTTTCCAGATCCAGGTACGGGATGTTCTCCTCGGGGTTGGGTCTGTCTTTTCCTGGGAGCTTCCTCCAGGCAGCACCGACCACCAGGACCCCTCTCTGAAGGTGCCAGCACCACTGGCCATACCAGTCTTCAGGGGAGGAAACTCCAACCTCCTGGGGTTGCTTTGGGAGCATCTCCAGGTGCTGCAGGGCTGTGGAGCCTTTGGGCTCTGTGTGGCAGCTCTGCTCTCCCCTGGCAAGGCCCAAGAGGACTCCAGGCTTCCCTGGGTCGAGCAAGAGCTTTGCAGTGAGACTTTAATTGTAGGATCGTCTTCTTTTTTTCCCCCTCAACTCATTTTTGCTCCAGACTCACTGTCTGGAGTTACTGAGTGACTGATAAAGGGTATTTTACACAGGACAAGTCCAGCTCTAGCCAAAGCCTTTTGAAAGCAGCTGAGATGCAGGGAGGCAGCAGCTGCCTCAGCCCCTGTGGAGACAACATTCAACCAGGCTTTAAACAAAAAAAAAAGCTTGCATGATGCTCCTGAATCAGCTCAAAATTTCTCATCCCGAGATGCACAGAGGGGACAACTCTGTCCTCTATGAGGGGGAACTGAGGCACAGGAGCTGCTGGGAGCTCCCAGGGTGAGCTGAGCTGCACCCACAGCCTCGGTGTGACCTTTGCCAAGATACAGCACCAGGAAAACTTTACAGCCTTTATTTTCCTGGTGCTTTTAGGTACTCAGTGTTCCTAATAGACAGATTTCTGCCAGCGGATATCACAAACCAGGGAGAGTCTTTTAAAAGCTCTATTTAATTCTCATTCCAGCGATCTGCCCTGGGAGCACTATTTCCTCCCACCCTCATTTACAGCCCTGTGAGGGATTTTTTTTTATAAAAAAAAAACAATCTTCATTTTGAGTCATGTTCAGGTTATTTTCTCACTTACGGGAGCTGGTGCCGCTTCCTGTCAGAGCACGAGGGAAATTCTCTGCTGCATCTGTGTCACCTCCTGCCCTGGGGTTTTAGGGCCAGTTCTGCTCCCCCCCAAGGCTTTCTGGAGGAAAAGGGGCAAAGGAGACCCTCAGGGTGTGGGGTGAGCTGTAGGAGCTCTCCCACAAAGGGCTGTGAGTGTGTTCTGTGGGGTGTGGGGAGGGGGATCAGCCCTGGTTTTAGGGGGGACACCTCCAGGCAAGGCAGTGGGCACAGCACTGAGCCTACCAGAGCTCCAGGAACATTTGGATGATCCTCTGGGGCACAGGGTGGGGATTTGGGGTGTCCTGCACAGGGCTGAGGTGCTCCTTGTGGGTCCCTCCCAGCTCAGCACACCCTGTGATCCCGTGAGACCCGGCTTGGTGGTGGTGGGAGCCCCTGGAGCCAGAGGGGACACGAGTTGGGGACGCGAGTTCCTCCCGCCGAAGCCAAGGCGAGGGGGTAAAAAACCCCAAACCCCCAAAAATCCTTTATTTGCATCTAACTGGCTTTTCGTATCGCTGTGATAACAGCTTGACAAAATAAACCCCTGGCTTTGATCCCTCTCCAGACATGGAGCCCGGGGCTGCCAGCACGTCCCTGCCCGACCCCGCCGGCGACGGCGACCGGAACGTGCCGCGGATCTGCGGCGTCTGCGGGGACAGGGCCACCGGCTTCCACTTCAATGCCATGACCTGCGAGGGCTGCAAGGGCTTCTTCAGGTGAGAGGAACCAGCAATGAGGCGCTGGAAAGCGGTGCCAGGGCCTGGGGGGGCCTGGGGGTGCCCCGGCAGCCGGGAGGGCCAAGCGTGTCCTGCCTGGGGGGGCATTGCCAGGTGAGGGAGGGGATTGTCCTGCTCTGCACCTGCCACGTTGGGGTGTTTGGGGCACCAGAATGTAAGATTTTAAGTCGTTAGAGAGCGTCCAAAGGAGGCCATAAGGGTGGGGAAGGGCCCTGAGGGGAGGGGCTGAGGGCAGTCGGTGTGTTCAGCTGGAGAAGAGGAGGCAGCATTTTGGTGAAGGCTCAGTTTGACCCCTGTCCCAGCGATGCTCCAGGACTGACCCATCCTCTTGGCAGTCCAGGGCACTTGCATCAAGTGAGAGAATGACTAATTGCTGGTGAAATGAAAGCACCTGATGATGATGATGATGATGACGTGGGATGGGCTGGGAAGGGCCTTGCTCAAGTGTTCTGCACCAGCAAGGCCCGGTTTACACCTTTGAGCTGGGCTCTTGCAGGGCTTGAACTTCTGCAGCAAAGCCATGACTCCTCCTCTGGCAGGAATTTGGGGGTTTTCACAGACCACAGTTTTCCGTGACCTGTTCTCAGCCACGGTGGCTCTGAAGTCACCAGCCAGGTCACCACGACATTTCCCCCAATTCCTGCTGCTAAACTCTTCTTTCAGGTGCTCTCCCCTGCTCTGCTCTGCTCTCCCTGCCACCTTCCCCATCCCTGTGGTGACAACAGGCTGGCTTTTGGCCCCTGGAATGGCCAGTGCCCCTTTCCTGAGCGTGACATGGCTCTTGTACTGCCCCCAAGCCCCATCTCTGTTGTCACACTCCTGGAATCGTGCAGGACCCTCACCTGGGACAGTATTTCTGAGCAGACACCATTGTGTGCCAAGCTCTCCTCCCTAGCCAGCCCTTCATGCCCCCAATCAAAGCCTTTATTTTCAATTTAAGGCTCTTGCTACTCTTTAATCTTGCTTTCCAGGCACGCTCTCCCCAAGCCAGGTCTTGGTGTGTTCCCCTCTTGTTTACACTGGCATCTTTACACGCCTTTTTCAACCCCTGAATTAATTAATTCTTGCTGCTGCCACAGCATTGAAGTGATTTCTGCTGCTGGGAGAGCCTGGGCACTAAAACTGCCCCAGGGAAGCTGTGCCTCCCTTTGCTGCCTCGGGGTTTATAACACACTGCATCCACTCACTGGTTTTCAACTCCCAGCTCGTGGATCTTTGAGAAAAACCTCTGCCCTGGTATCGATTTCTGGGCACTCCCAGGGCTGGAAGAGGGTGAGCAGCTGGGAATATCGTGGGAATATTGAACCCAGGGGCTGTCTCCCAGCTTTTGCTGGGTGAACTCTGGCTGTGAGGTGACTCTCCCCCTCCCTGGGCCGGGCTGGGACCGGTCCTGCCGTGCCTGGAGCCTCGTGTGGGTGGTGGAGGGACAGGACCTGAGCCTTGGCTCGTGGGGGTGGCAGCAGAACTGCTGCAGGACCCCCCTGGTGGCTCTCACCTCCCTTGGGGACATACCTGGGACACGGTTTCCCCCTGCTCAAAGTCCCCCAGGAGGTCCTGGGTTTAATGACCCCGTTAATTAGGACTTTATTGGCACCTCCAGGCCCACGTAGCCCTGGGCACAAACAGGCTGTCAGCTCTGCTGGCTTCAAAGTCCAGTTGACTGATGATGCCAAGGGCAACAGGGACCTTTTATTGGGCTCTGCTGTTTGCTCAGGAGCTCTGAAGCAGCACCTGAGCCAGAGGGATTTATTCCACGGCCCCTTGGCTCAGGCTTCCGTGGCTTCCCTGGTTCCTCCTGCAGGTTTTCCCCACTTTCTGCCCCCCAGGTGGGCATCCTGAGAGCTCCAGGGAGTTCCCCTCACCGAGGGGTGACCTTGGGAGTTCTGTCCCCATCTCCCACCCCCAGGAGCAGCCCCCACAACCTCGGAGCTCTGCCAACCCCTCGGCCCCGGGCGAGCTGGCTCCCACCCTGGGGCTGGCGTGGAGCAGGGAGGGAGCCTCGTTATTTTTAGCAGCCTTGGGATTCTTAAATGAGCCTCGAAATGGCCGGTTCTGGAGCTTTATAAAAACACACACGGGAGCCAGACGTCGTGAGCTCCCGCTGTGGGTCCGGCTGCCCCTCCCCAGCCCTGCTGGTGTCACTGGGGGCCCCTGGGAGCCACCAGCTTGGACCTTGGAGGGGCAGCAAAGCAGCTCCTGTGCCCTGGGCTCGCCTAAACTGCAATTTTCATTCCAAACCCATAATGTTGGCTTGCCCTTGGACGCGGGACGTCTTTCCCTGCCCGAGGGCCTCGTGTTTCTCCGGCTTGTTTGTGCATTCCCCAGCCTTGCCCTGGGCTGTGGGGGAAAAGATGAGCTGCCTGCTGGCCCCAGAGGCTCATAAACACAAGTTATTTCACTCAAAGTGGGTGATTTTTGGGGCGTTCAGCTCCAAATCCTGACTTGCCCTCAAGCTGAGCCGTGTTTGTCCCCGTTCTTGGGGCAGCAGATGTCCTGCTGATCTTGGAAAAAGGGGAAACCCCGGGGAAAAGCTGAAGTTTGCCAAATTGAGAGCCAGTGGCTGGGTGAAACAGGGATTTCGTGGCATGAGGTGAGTCAGGGAGGGCTCTGCCAGCCCCCTCTCCTCTATTAATTTTCCTACAAGCGTTTATTCATGTCAGGTAAAGGGAGAGCAAAGCTTCTTTGTTGGCATCTCCCTTTCTAAAATAGCCTCTAATTACATGCTGCTGGCTCTGCAGCCCGAGGACATAT